GCACGGAAGCCCAGGCGCTTGGGCCCAGACCACCCTCAGAGAAAAAAATAATGGCAACAAAGAAAACGCAGGACTCGAGATCAAAGCGCGCCATTCAATCGCCCAACCCACCCAAGGAGGCACGATCAACACACCTCAATTATGCCCAACACACACACACCCCGGCCAGGAGCACGCTATCATGCCGCGACCTATCGAAACCCTCGACGCGAACCGCGAAAATGCCCGGCACCACGTCCTTGGAGGTGTCGCCGAAGACGCCCACCAGCACCGCGACTTTCATGCAGAGGACGTTTTCGAGGACCTGGCCGTGGCCCGCTCCAGCAGGATCAGGCCGTACTCGATCGGGGAGTCCTCGCACTTGACGCCGCTCTCGGTGAAAAGCTCCATGGGGAGGCGCACGAGGTAGTGCGCAACGCCGTCGACACCACCACCGACCCCACGCTCCTTCGCGGCGCATCCCAACGCTCTGCCCAATCCAGGAGCAGGGAGCCGTCCGCGAGGACGCATTCCACGACGACGGTCATGACGGCGGCTCCGTTATCCCAGTGACCCAGTGTGGTCGGCGGCGGCCCCGAGAATCGGACCTCAAGGGCTTGGACGGCGTCGCAACGACCACCCGGTCACCCCTCGCCGTGCTGCGGGCCAGCCGCGCCGCGGTCTCGGCCCTCCGCCGCAAAGCAGGCCCGCCCTGGAAGCCACGCACGTCGTCGAACCCCTCCGCATTCCACCGTCTCGGGTGTCGACCAAGCTCGGCCGCGCAGGCACCGCCGCCGCGATGGCCGAGGCATCCCCTGCCACGGACACGGAAGTGCCAGAATAGGCCTCCAAATCCAGGGCGACCTCCGAGGACCCGACGACCGCCGCACTGCCCCGCGCGTTCATCGACTGCGCGGGTGCCACTGCTACGGCCTCCGGCGGAGAGCTGGTCGGCGACGAGCTAGCGGAGCCGCCGGCGCCCATCGTGGCTGCCACTCCCCAGCAAGCTTCCTCGCTGCACTGAGCTTGCTCGAGCGCGCGAGGACCGATGAGAGCCCAAAGACGGCCAAAGGCAGCCTAGTCCCTTCACCCCCGCAGCCCAGAAGCTCCCAGGAGGCCCCAAGAGGCCCCCGAAAAGCCCCAAAAGGTCCCCAAGAGGCACCCAAGAGGCTCCCCGAGAGCCCCCCAAGAGGCCCAAAATACTCCCAAAGGCTCTTAGCACCGCGGCTCCCAAGAGCGAGCGGTGACGTAATCGAGCTGATAAGACCAAAGCTCCCAACAGAGAGCTGCGGCGTAATAAGTTCTTGACGCCAGGGCACAGGGACGGGCGGCAACGCGTGGACAACGAGCGGTCCACGCAAGGACAACGCGGGGTTCTGGAAAGCTGGCAGCCCAAACGCGGAAAACGCAACGCGACCCGACCGCCCCCTCCAAAACAAGAAACGCGCTCAAAGAAAGCTCAGCGACTCTCCGAGGCTGAGATAGGACAAGAGCGAGGGGAAGGGAGTCAATAAGAGGTGTAAGAGCGGACGAGCCAGCGATCTCGTGCGCTCTGACAGTAAGTGCGCTTTCCGTCACTGTGCCAAGGAGGTCTAATTGCCCTCCCGCCTCGTTTTTTTATCGAGTACGGCGGCCTTCGGGGCTTAAAAACAGCGTTTCGCTCGAGACATCATCGGAAAACGCTTCTTCGGCGCTTCTTGGGCCGTCTTAGGCGCCTAGGACAGCCCAAGAAGCCGCCAAGACGGCGCCCAAGACGGCCCAAGACGGCCCAAGAAGCGCCCCAGACGGCCCAAGAGCGCTCCAAGAGAGCCCAAGACCGCCCAAGGCGGCCCCAAGACGTCCCAAGAGGCCTCCACGACGCCCCAGGAGGCGCCCACGAGGCGTCCCAAGAGGACCCAAGAGGCCAAAATCATTGATTGTCTTGAGGAAAACGTGCATTTCTAGCATATACGGCTTTTCGCCTTTCATGGCGTTGAAGACGGTCCAAGAGGCCCCCAAGACCGCCCCAAAACGGCCCAAGATGTTCCCAAGAGGCCCCCTAAATAGCCCAAGAGGGCGCCAAGACGGGCCAAGAGGCGTCCAAGACGGACCAAGAGGCCCCCAAGAGCGCCCCAAGAAGGCCCAAGAGGCCCCCAAGAAGGCCCCAAAACGGCCCAAGAGGGCGCCAAGACGGCCCAAGAGGCGCCAAGACGGCCCAAGACGGCCCCAGGACGGCCCCAAGAAGGCCCCAAGAGGCCCACAAGAGAGCCCAAAGACGGCCAAAGGCAGCCTAGTCCCTTCACCCCCGCAGCCCAGAAGCTCCCAGAAGGCCCCAAGAGGCCCCCGAAAAGCCCCAAAAGGTCCCCAAGAGGCACCCAAGAGGCTCCCCGAGAGCCCCCCAAGAGGCCCAACATACTCCCAAAGGCTCTTAGCACCGCGGCTCCCAAGAGCGAGCGGTGACGTAATCGAGCTGATAAGACCAAAGCTCCCAACCGAGAGCTGCGACGTAATAAGTTCTTGACGCCAGGGCACAGGGACGGGCGGCAACGCGTGGACAACGAGCGGTCCACGCAAGGAAAACGCGGGGTTCTGGAAAGCTGGCAGCCCAAACGCGGAAAACGCAACGCGACCCGACCGCCCCCTCCAAAACAAGAAACGCGCTCAAAGAAAGCTCAGCGACTCTCCGAGGCTGAGATAGGACAAGAGCGAGGGGAAGGGAGTCAATAAGAGGTGTAAGAGCGGACGAGCCAGCGATCTCGTGCGCTCTGAAAGTAAGTGCGCTTGCCGTCCCCGTGCCAAGCAGGTCTACTGGCCCCGGTCAATCCAAATCCGGGTCAATCAGGCCTTGCAAGATCCTGCAAAATCCTGCAGGGGCCTGCACGATACTGCACGCAAGCCCGGGTCAATGCACCCCTGGCTCTGCAGGATCCTATAATAGACGAGACGCAAACGGCATAAGCAAAAAACTGTTGGCGCTCCGCGCGGACTTCTTGGATTTGCGCTGGACGGCGCTGGAGGCGCCACCGGAGGGGCCCAGCGCGGAGCCAAGAAATCCACGCGGAGCGCCAAAAGTTTATGTTTCTGGCCTGTGTTTCTTCTTCGATGCAATATCCAGCGCTCTGACTGACCCCCGCTTGTTTGGCGGTGCGCACAAGGGGTTGGAGGGAGGGGGAAGGGCTTCTTAGAAGGAAGCTGTTTCTTAGCAGGCGCCGGCCCTACATCTATAGATGAGGCCCGCGCCTTCTAGGAATCGGGCGTGCTGCGAAGAAGCCCTCCCCCCACCCCGCCCTCCTCTGCGCGTGGCTGCCTCCTCCTCCTCCTCCTCCTCCTCCTCCTCCTCCTCCTCCTCCTACCTCCTCCACCTCCTCCTAGTCATTATCCTCCTCCTCTCCCTCCTCCTCCTCCTCCTCTCTCCTCCTCCTTCCTCCTCCTCCTCCTCCTCCTCTCCTCCTCCTCCTCCTCCTCCTCCTCCTCCTCCTCCTCCTCCTCCTCCTCCTCCTCCTCCTCCTCTCCTCCTCCTCCTCCTCCTCCTCCTCCCCTCCTCCTCCTCCTCCTCCTCCTCCCCCTCCTCCTCCTCTGACCCTCTGCAGCAGGCCCCGGGCCACAGGCCTGCGGGCGCGCCGCGCCGCGCGTGCGGCTCAGAGGCCGAGGGAGGGCGCGAGGCCCGGCCCCCGCCGGAGGGCTCTCGAGGTCCGGGCCCTGCTGGGGGTCGGGTCCTCCCCACGCTCGCCAGCCCCTCCTCCGCCTGCTCCTCTGCCGCTCCTCCTGCCACTCCTCCACCAGCTACTGCCTCCTCCTCCTCCTCCTCCTCCTCCTCCTCCTCCTGCTGTCAGGGGTCTGGTCCTCCACCCTCCTTGCTCCACCCTCCTTGCTCCTGCTCTTGCTCCTCCTCCTCCTCCTCCTCCTCCTCCTCCTCCTCCTCCTCCTCCTCCTCCTCATCATCATCATCATCATCATCATCATCATCATCATCATCACCATCACCATCGCCATCGCCATCGCCATCAGCATCCCCATCATCCCCATCATCACCATCATCATCACCATCATCAGGATCATCATCATCATCATCATCATCATCATCATCATCATCATCATCATCATCATCATCATCATCATCATCATCATCATCATCATCGTCATCGTCCTCGTCCTCGTCCTCGTCCTCGTCATCGTCATCGTCATCATCAGTAGCAGCAACAGCGGCGACAGCAGCAGCCATCATCATCGGCATCAGCACCGCCACCAACAACTTCATCATCACCACCACCATCATCACCATCACCATCATCATCACCACCACCAGCATCATCACTACCACCACCACCACCATCACCAGCATCATCAACAATCGCCATGATAATCTTGTGGCAGCATCATCGTCATCGTCAACATGGGCATCGTCACGCATCATGACCATCACCATCACCAGCCATCAGTATCATAATGTTTATCTTGGACATCGCAATCATCGTCGGCAGCATCATTTCCATCATCAGCATTTGCAGCATCATCGTCAGTAAGGGCAAAATCAAGACCCTCGCCATAAGACTGGTCGTCATTGCCATTGCCACCGACATCACCATCGACACTCTATTGGAACATGACCGGGAAGGACAGGAGTAGGTGAAGATGGTCTGAGCAGAGGAGCTCGAGCGTGTGGGAGAATGCCATCCTTTCTACATCACCTTCCTCCTAATTCCTCCTTCTCCTCACTCTACAATTCTATTGCGTAGGCGGTGGCAGCGAGAAGAATCGAGAGGGATCTCGTTCGGCAGAAGCGGGTAATCGCTTAGCGCATTAGCAAACAAATCCAAACATTCCCCCGCATCCTGCTTCTGTAAAGGCGTGCGCCAGGGCCAAACTGTAAGCGGTCCAGGAAGCCTGGGCGCCCTCACTGCACCCGCCAGCCGCGCCTTGTGCCTGAACACAAAATCGGATTGTCTTCCTGACGTGAAGCTCGCAACGACCCGCCTTTTCTGGCCGCACCCCGCGAAAGGAGACCAAGATGCTAACTCGACGGCGGAGCCTGGCTTTTTTCCATGTACCTCCTGGCACATGTTGGAGCAAAATGTCCATACGTTTGCGGGCACATGATCAGTAGTCAACTTGGCTCAGAAGGGTCCCGCATAGGACCAAACGTTAGCCCGATGCTGACAACATACTTGAAGCAGAGTGCTTTCGTCGTCCAGCTTAATTGTCTTGACTTGATCGAGTGAGGGGTCGACATTTCGCTCCAACTTCCGCAGCGAGCGCATAATACAACCTCGCTCTGGCCTCCGCTGGCGTCCGCCACCAGGCTTGCGCGATACAATGGGTACGTACGTCAAGCGATCTCGCCATAAGACATCTAGTGACACATCCTTCGTCCACTCCGAGCTTTACAAGGCGCCCCAGGGCTCTGCGGACCCAGTGTGAGATAAAAATACTCTCCTCGGGCACCCGTTAACAGACCAATTTCTCGTTTGGTGTGTCTGCTGCAGTGGGGCGTTTGAATGCTTGCAGTTGTCTGGCAGGGCTTCTGTAGTTTGCCAGCCGCCCCCCCCCTTGACGGCGCAAAGGCCCAGGAGGTCTCCGAGGTGCCCGAACGGCACGCCCACATAATTATCCCCAAGATGGCTCAACAGGGCGTCTTCGGGAGAGTTCGGTCGAACCGTCGCGTTAAAATGGCTCTGGGACCCCAGAACGGCCCCGAATGGGCCCCCTAGTAGCAAGAGGCGCCCAAAAGGGCAGCGGAGAAGCCCAGAAGGTGCCCGAAGCGCAACCGAACTGGAACAGCCCAGAAAGGGAGAGCCACTCCAGCTCCTTCCTCGTGCGGCGCTGCGCTTGCGCGGTGGTGGGGCTTGCCGGAGGCAGCTGGGTAGGAGAGCTCAGGTCTTGCAGTGTAAGTCACCGAGGGTAGCAGGAGCCACATTTCTCGACTCCGCCGTGGGCCCCGCCGTCTGGAGAACCAGTGAAGATCCCATCCACGAGCAGTGGGCTGAAAATGCCCTGCCGCGCAAGCAAAGTCCACCACCATGCCGCTGGGCATGGAATGGGCGTGCCCTCGCGTCCTTTGCCCAATCCCGGGAGCCTCAGTCCTCAGTCCCGAGGAATGTTTGAGAGGGCCGGGTCTAAGCTTTCAAAATCTGCCGGGTCTGCCCGCGTGCCCCTAGGGCTTTGCCAATTGGTGGCGCGTGAACGGTTGTAGGCCACGAGGGCCCCAAAGCGGACCAAGGGGGCCCCGAGAGGCCCCGAAGACGGCACAAGAGGGCCCCGAGCCGCCGAAAGATCGGCCCAAGACGCCCAAGATGGGCCCTAAAAGGACTCCCAAGAAGGCCCCAAGAGGCCCAAATCATTTGCTTCCCCTGCGTATTCCAAAATTTTGGGCCTACTCGTCTTTTCGGCTTACCGACGCTCGAAGACGGCCCCAGATGCCTCCAAGACCGCCACAAGACGGGCAGAAACGCCCCCAAGACTGCCCCAAGACGGCCTAAGAAGGCCCCAAGACGGCCCCAAAGGCGCCCAAGACGGCCCCAGAGGGCCCCAAGACGGCCCGAAAAGGGGCCCAAGAGAGGGAGCACGAACCGAAAATCCGACCCAGGAGGCCCCAGGAGGCGCCAAGAGGACCCGAAAGGCCACCAAGAGGCCCACAAGAGGTCCCAAGAAGCCCCAAAACAGCACTCAAGACCCAAGAGGCGTCCAAACTGCCTCCACTCCCACGAGATCCCAACGGACATCCAATAGGCTTCATACCCACAGCCCAGGCACGGTGGCGGGATGAGACAAAGGCAACTAGATCCGCCGCCCCCTGTCGATTCATCGCAGGGGTGCCTGACGTGCCAAACTTTTTCGGTTTTGGCTTTGGTGATTTTTCCAAAAGAACTCTCCCTGGGGCTTCGGCCCGTCCCGCCGGCCACCCGAAAGGATGCCGAAAATGTGCCCAGACCCGGCTCCAAAGGGTTTTTCCTGGTCCAGACGGCTCCACGACGGCCCAAGATGGCCTCCAAGATGCATCCCAGACGGCCAAGATGGCCTCCAAGACAGCTAAGATGGCCCCAAGATGCCTCCAAGTCCGCCTAAGATGTACCCAAAATGGCGTACGATAGCCTCAAGATGGCCCAAGAGGCCTCAATGCGGCCCCAGAGACCTCCAAGAGGTGCTCCAGGAGGGCCCGCAGAGGCCAAAACCATTGAGTTGCCTTCGGTTGTTGAAGGATTTTGGCATTTGTCGTTTCTCGGCATTCCGACGGCTTAAGACGGCCCAAGAGGCCGCATAGGTCGCCCCACCATCGCACACGAGGCCTCCAAAAGGGCCCCATGACGGCCCAAGAGGCCTCCAAGACGGTCCAAAGAGGGCCCCAAGACGGCCCAAGAGACCTCCAAGACGCCCAAGATGGTTTCCAAGACGGCCCCGAAGCGCCCCAAGAGGACCCCAAGTCGGTTCAGAGAGGCCCCCAAGACGGCTCCCGACGGCGTCAGACGGGCCAGGAACCCACCAAGATCGCCGAAGTTGGCTCGAAGCTGGCCCAAGACGGCCCAAGAGGCCTCCAAGAGGGCCTCCAGAAGGCCAGAAAAGGCAAAAAAACAAAAGCACTGGTGTCCCTAATATTTTTTGAAGGATTTGGACATTTGTCTCTTTTCGAACTTCCGACGGACCGAGACGGTCCAAGAGGCCCCAAAGATCGCTCAAAGGTCGCCCAAGAGGTGTCCAAGATGGTTCCAGAACGGCCCAAGAGGCCTCCAAGACGGCCCCAAGAGATCCCCAAGACGGCCCAGGAGGCCTGTGAGACGCCCAAGATGGCCTCCAAGACGGCCCTGGAGCACTCCAAGAAGGACCCAAGTCGGCCCAGAGAGGGCCCCCAAACGGCTTCCGACGGCGTCAGACGGGCTAGGAGCCCACCAAGACGGCCGAAGATGGCCCTAAGATGGCCCACGACGGCCCAAGAGGCCTCCAAGAGGGCCTCCAGGGAGGCCCGAAAAGGCCAAAATTAGTGATGTCCGTGAGTGTTGGAGGATAATTGCATTTGCTGCGTTTCAGCCTACCGACGGCCCGAGACGGCCTAAGGGCCCCCATAGATCGCCCAAGAGGTCTCCAGTATGGCCCCAGAACGGCCCAAGAGGCCCCCAAGACGGCCCCACGAGGCCCCCAAGACGGCCCAAAAGGCCTCCAAGACGCTCAAGATGGGCCCCAAGACGGCCCTGGAGCACCCCAAGAAAGGCCCAAGCTCGCCCAGCCTCGCCCACCGTGTCCCCCGAACGTTTTCCAAACCGACTCGGGGAACACATGGCCCGATAGCTTGTCAGGCCTCTGGCCACAACGTTCGGCCACATAGGCGTTTCCAAACAGGCAGGGGGCGGCGGTGATTCGCCGTAGGCGTCTGCGATCGGCCGCCCCCTGTCGATTCATGGCAGGGGTGCCTAGCGTGCTGGACATCTTACGTTTCGGTTTTGGCTCTTTTCTCAAAGAATTTCCCCCTGGGGCGTCGGCCCGTCACGACCTCAACGACCGCAAAAGAGTGTCCAAGACGGCTCAAGATGGCCTCCAAGACGGCCAAGACGGCCTTCAAGCTCGGTCCAAGATGGCCTTCCAAGTCCGCCCAATATGGTCCAAGATGGCCTCCAAGATGGCCCAAGAGGGCCCAAGATACCTCCAAGTTCACCCAAGAAGCCTCCAAGACGGCCCAAAACGGCCCAAGAGGTCGCGAAAAGGTCCTTCAAGAGGGCCCGAAGAGGCCAAAATCATTGATTTGCCTTCGGTGTTCGAAGGATTGTGGCATTTGCCTCTTCTCGGCATTCCGACGGCTCAAGACGGCCCAAGAAGCCGCATAGATCGCCCCACCATCGCCCACGAGGCCTCCAAAAGGGCCCCATGACGGCCCAAGAGGCCTACAAGACGGCCCAAAGAGGGCCCCGAGACGGCCCAAGAGACCTCCAAGACGCCCAAGATGGTTTCCAAGACGGCCCCGAAGTTTGAAGGGGGGCTGGAAGGCCCAGCCAACAGCTTCGCGTCAGGCGAAGCCAAGCTCCCACTCTGTTGTACCGTAGTAACGATAGTCCCAGTATGAGAGGAAATGCCATCTGAAGCAATAGGAAGATCCTTTTGGTCTCGATAGCGATTGTGCGCCTCGCGGTGAGGCACCGTCAAAACTCGGCGGCCGGCCACTTGAGCCGACGCGGCCGCGGGCGCACGCTCGCTTCCACTCCTTACGTCCCTCAGCTCGCTTTAGAGTCGGAGGGGGGGGAGACGAAGCGTGAGCCCGACGCCCCTATAGAGCAGGCACAACAGCTAACCTACACCAGGACAGGAAAGGAAACGGGCCCAAAGGAAGGTGGACCCGCCAGCAAGTTGCCTCGCATATGTATGACATACTGATCAGGCGGCGTCAGACCTTGATGTCTGGCCGGCCCGATATAGAGTATGTCTCTTCAGGTCATGTTTGAAGGTCTGTATGCCTCCCATGACTTGCAGGAGCATGTATCTGTCGATGCTCCCCTTGGCGTGGCCATCCGCAGTCATATCCCGGGTATCACATCACTGGATGCTGTGCACGATTCCACGCTCCATCATCTGTCGTATCCAACTGATGTGTCCTAAAAGGGTACCCTCACTCGGCTTCTTCAAGTCTTTGCTTGACAAGGACTTAAAAACAGACTCAGCATCGATGGTCAAAGTGACCTTGATGCTCAAGCCACCCAACTCAAGTGCATCTTTCAACTGAGTGGGCGTGAGCGGCCCCGCGTGGAGCTCGTGCAGATTCACAACCGTGGGATAACAATCCTCCAAATTGTGGGCTGCTGCTCGTGTCTCTGCTGAATAACTCGAGCGGACCTGCAAGCGGTGAGACTTGCAGTACGCATCAATCAAGAGAACGACAGGCTTACCAGATGACGTGATTCCACGTCGTAGCAGGTTTGCCCAGCGAATACCACAGCCTTCGACGTCGTCGTCGGCGTCTCCACTCAGGCGTCGATATCCTGCGTCGCTATGTAAGTCGACCTCGCCCGTGGGGTTCATCGCCTGGTAGAAGATCTTCTTCGGGCAGGACTGTAACTTTCTGGTGATCGCGCTCAGTCGTCGCACTTGAACGTTGGTCGGTTCTTGGACACGCTGTAGAGATACAACATACGCCATGAACCACGCCTGGGTGATCAGTGCGTACGCCAGCGCACCCCTGAGACTGACAAACATGTCTGCCACCATTTGGGTTTCTTGAGGGCCAGCGTCAGCGCCGGTTAGTTCGTGGTGTTGTATAGGACGGAGCTGTTTAATATATTCATATTGATCCAAGGTAACATTGCCGTCCTCGTCCCCAGTGTATCTCACAGCACAATTAGTACATGTGCGCTTGTTGAATTTACACTTACCGAACGTAACTTCGACGCACTTGACATAGTTGTCAATGGCGTCCTCAGTACCGGCCATATTAATGTCATCAACATGCTTGGCCGTGAGCAAGTTATTGCTCGTCTCGAACTCCTCGTCGTAAGACGTGGGTCGGAAGCCAAGAGCTTAAATGAGAAAGCCCGTGGGGCGCCCTTAGTGCCTGTGCCCAGTTTCAAGCACCGCAGGCAGTGCTTTGATTCGTCGTAGTTCTCGAATCCTGGAAGAGTACGGAGCATAATGGCCGATCCAGGCTGCAAAATAAAGCACGCCACACGTTCCTTTTCACTGGTAGCCCCAGCAAGTTCCTGATAGGTCAATCCCTTCAGGAAGGACCATGTTGATGTCGAGGGAAGCAATGACCCACTGCTTCTTGCACGCTGCCGTGCTAGCGAGTAACCTCTGGCTTGACATTCTTGCTGTTCCCGAAAATGCTTATACGTCGAAAGCTTCAAGGTCCATGAAGCCTCGGAGTACCAAGCGTAGTCGGATGGTACGTTCCATCTCGCCCTTTTCGTTCTTCACGAATGTCCAAGTGTACACGTATCTCGAAGTCATGATGTTCGACGCTTTGGCTATCTCCTGCATCTTAAAGAATTTGTTGTCGAACCATGTCTTGAGCTCAGTGAGGAGGACCTTCAATAC